TGAAGTGCGGGATGGTATACAGAGCGGGTGACTAAGGTCCACGGAGACGGCGGTGTACAGCTCCATAGAGTCCGCTCGAGACGCAGCTGGCGGCGGCCGATGTTGTGTTCCATGACCTTGCGCCGAATCTGCTGGCGTCGGTAATCATCCTTTCGAGTCTAAAACTCCCGAACGGCCTTTCACCGCCGATACAAAGCTCGACGACACGTTACCGCCCGGACAGCGTCGTCTTCTGTAGTCTACCGTCGATTTTCATCGGCTTCCCGCACACTGCACGATCCCTGTAAACAAGTATGCAGATCGACTGGCCAAGCTAATCTACGTTGGGACACCGTCCGCTACGACTGCGAAAACGGTGAGCGCATGGAGAGTTCACTCCTCGACTACGACTTCGACAAGCCTGCGCGGCTAGCGTTGCTCGAGAATGGCCTCTTCCCAGCTAGGCAGAAATAGCCGTATGCCTGGCCGGTGGCTCGTGGGCGATACCTCTTTTTCTCGCCGAATCCACACCCGCAGAGTTTCTCGAACGCACGTGAGTCCCACCCAAATTGTAATTATAAGCATTCCTCTAAAATCAGAAACACATAAATTCAAACAAGGACTAACCCAAACTCCCGTACTCATAAAGTTAATCCACAACCCCCCACCCCCCTTTCCAAAAAAAAAAAAAAAAAAAAAAAAACCGATTACGACAATTTTTTTTTTTGTTGTTGTACCGCCGAGCTCAACCTGCAAGTAGAGTACGCATGCGATGTCCGACTCATATTGGGCGGTGCCCTGCGCACCTGCGTAGAGGGCGACGGTTTCATGTAATACTGGATATGCATAATCCGTCTCTGGCAGCACAGAGCAACGCACACGCAAAGTCGAGGAGGATGACGGTTGTCCATATTCAACGGAAGTCTCGCAGTCACCGATGCCCGAAGCGCGTCCAACGAACTCAGCACAATTTGTCCGATGAACAAAAGGGAAATTACCGATAATTTGGCACGAACGTATTCCGGCCGTTTGCTACTAGAAGCAATGACCTCGGCTGCAACGGGCGAAAGCAGAACACTTAGGACCGTATTTTGGAAACCGGACCTACGTGGCTGCAAATTCGATAGTTGAACGAGTAAAAAAAAAAAAAGAAAGACGTTACCAATTCTCTGTAATGTCGAATTAGAGCGCAGCTCTAGAGGAGGAGAAGAGGGTACAGAGGGGAGGGTATGCCCCTCCTCCCCCATCCGTACCTTCCCCTCCTCCTCTCCGCCTCCTCTCCCATTTAGCGTGAAAATACGCTTGTGTTGGCATCTTCGATTTCTTAACTGGAACCTGGACAAAGTTTGGTTACACTCTTCAGTTGTCGTAAAGCAACTAGAAGAGTTTAACTGTTCATAGTGTATTAACCGAGGTGGTTGCCAAATCAGAAACAAAAAAGTGCGTATTAATTGAGCGCTGCAGCTTAATTGCACTCGAAAAATTTGTTTCCCTTATTTCCAGCAAATATGTATCACGGCCCTTTTGCAAATGTATTTATCCACTTTCTACAGAATTTCAATGGAAAATAGTGTATAGATTATATAGATATTAGAAAGAAAATGTATCCACTTTTGTATCCACTGTTTATAGTTTTTAGCAGCTTTTTTGAGCTATACCTTCTTTCTGATCAATTGTATTTTGAGGAATGTTTACGACCGTTGAATATTGTCAAATTCCGAACAGGGTTCTCAGTGTTTGGTATTGGCTCGCCCGCGGTGTGTTTCAGGCTATGCCAATTCGTGTGTTTTATATTAGCTTGGGAATTCGTATATATACTCTTCGCTGTGTGCATAGCACTCTTATTATACTCTTATGACTGGTAATGATAGCGATGTCTTATCTATTTCTTGACTTACTTCCGGAGCCCGAGTCGGCGTGAAAGCGAATGGACTATTCAGCATCTTCCCTGTGCAAAAAATAGTTGTTAACTTGGTTCCGCGAAAAGTCTATTACGAAGTGTACGATATGCCGAACTCCTTCATAATAATTTTTTTATATCTTTTTCTTGTGAAACATACAGAGCGCCTGAAGTAAATCATGCATATACCAATGTGGTCCAATAAAATGTTTCCTAATCACTTACTGTTGTTGACCCCAAAATGCTTTAACAGTCAGGAGTCAATGTGGAGGTTGTGTAACTTCAATGTTTTACAGTAGGAAAAACCAACAAACAAGATATACGGATTCGTTTTGTGGAGTGGAAATTTTCTTTTACACATTTTGCACGGATAATATCGTAAAAATTAAACTAAAGCTCCGTCAACATAAAAAAAAAAATTAAACAGCGTCTCCGGGAGCCGAAGAGCTCCCGAGAGCGTCGCGAAGAGCGACGCAAGAAGGAAAGATGGGGAGAAAGAAAAGGGTGCCGGAGAACCGCAGCAGAAACGCCCAAACCGAAACCGAAACTAACTTGACCGCAACCGGAACTAGATTGTGTTTAATGCCGTCCGCTAGGAGCGCTAGCTGTCACTCGTCTATCTGGGCTCTGGGGCATAGGCAACGTTACTAAAACACTCAGGTGGGAAACTGCCATAGAGACTGCTCTGAAAATGTGTCCCCGTTCTGTCCTCGAGCACCGAGCTAATGGCGAGCACAACGCCGCCATTTCTCCCGCAGCGGCCACTCGAGGAAGTGTGCGTGACGTCTATTTTGGCTTTAATCGGCCATTTCGGGCCGAAACAGATACAGCGGAAGAGGTTACAGGGGTGCCACCTTGTAACCTCTTCATCTAACCTGTCTCCCCAGCGGACGCGCCGCATCGTACTACCGAAGTTAAACTGGACCTAGGTCGGGGACGCGCTACCTGAAAGCACCGCTGAGGCATGGTTGTATAAAAACAGTATTAATTGTGCCGCAGAGCCTTGCAAACTAGATTTTAAAAACATCACGCGTCCTTCATCTGTATTAAACTCTAATAAATTTCATACAAAAAGAGTCTTTTCTGTTTGTTTTTACGCAAAAACATGCTTTCTAAAAGCTCAAGGTGACCACAGTACAGACAAATGATAAAGAGTGGCGCTGTTGTCGTATTTAGCTCGGTCTCGGTGGACGCCAGCGGCCCAGGTTTCGACGGCGAGTTTTCCAACTGAGTGTTCTAGTAACTTTGGGCCTAGGGCAGTGTCCCCTGTTTACCTTGTGTATATTACTCTATGGTCTCGTGACGAGTAGTCACTCGGTTGCTATGGAAACCGAGCCAGCTAGGGTCGTTGCTATGGTACCGCGTGTGACCAATCGCGGTGAGAGGCGCAACAGGGAAAAGCGCGGCGCGACTCTGGCAGTTACGCTGCCATATACAGTGGCTCTAGCAGCTAGTTTCGTCAGCCACCGGCGCTGTGGCGCCATACCGTGGCGATGTTGCGAACTTTAGAAACGTGCGCTTCAAGCAAGTTAAAAGTCTGCGCATCTAGCTGGGCACTAATGAAAATACTGCGACATAATTAGACCTTCATGATGCTAAGGTGCAAATGTTCAGCCCAAAGTACAAGCGCCTGCGTAAATATAGCTAGAGTATTGTTTGCATCAAAGTGCGCGTGGCTAAATTTGGTTCATGACTCGCGAAAAAGAACGTAATAAAAAGTTTGTGGAAAGTCAACTTTATACTCAAAATGTCGGAACACATCATTTCGAAGGTGCAAGGAATGGAACAATTGTACGCTTTCAATGATATCTTATAAATAAGAAAAATAAAAAAAAACTGGGAATTACCAATTAAAGTAACGTCATTACTTTCGTGGTTACTTCGGAGAAAGTAATAGTACTATTGTCACAATTTACCGTTTTTCAAAAAGTAACTCGTTACAGTTAAACGTCATAAAAGAGTACCGAAGTCATATACAGTAGCGCTTTGATACCCAAGACTGATTTGTATGACTAACGTATTTTGCTATTGAATAATGTTTAGAGATATTGTTCAAAAAAAGCTTTAAAAACGTCAAGAGTGAAATCTCGGGTGTTAACCACGGCCGTAAATCTACACACTCGGTACTCTTGTCTGTTGAACTTCTAGGCCTAATCATTGGGCCATGGGTTGGGAACAATTGGTTTAGAAGGTTCACTGTATCTTGATCTCCTTCGCTGCAACTTGAATTGTCATTATTACCAATATGTCAGTGACCCAACAATATGCTGCATCTCGAGGGGTGACCGCCATACATAATGTGAACGTTTTCAGTGGTTGCATATGAGTAGACGACAGGGAGTTTTAGTATGCCGTTCCGATACCTTCGAAAACGGTACGTGACAGCAATTCGGTGCACACAAAAAGGGGTCGGCGAGGTATTTGGTATCGTAATCGGAGTAATCGGACCGATCTACTAAACCTCCCTAGTGTAGCGTCCGAATAGTTTCAGCTAAGGTACGGTGAACACGTACAGGGAACGAACTTGAGGCTTAATAAATAATATGTTGGGAATTTTGGTTGTAAGTCGTCGAGCCACGCGCTTATGTTTTTATTTAAAGTACTCCATTTTGTTTTTAAATTCACAAGCATTTAGAATTCGAAGGTCAATATTTAGTGTCTATCGCGCTGAGCGGTGCCGCCTAAAATTAATCCATGCGTAAAAAGATTAAGAGCTAAACAAATAACTGAAATAACTCCTCACCTAGAGCCTGCCAGAGGAACTTTATGTCATGTTTTTATAAGCGGTCAGTTTGCCTTTTAAACGAATTATAGAGTCTTTTGAGAAGTTTGCGCCATCTAGTTTCGAATGTGCCAATTATCCAAATACACCATTACTTTGGCACATACACTGGGCATATATTGGACACAAAAGCTGCAGCAGTGTTCGACGTGAAGCAAGCTCAGCTCGTATCAATATCAAGTTCTGCGCCAGCCTTTAGCGAAGACTGGAATCCAATCGCACGGTTCGGGCCCATGAGATGGCGAATGGCAATGCCGCTTTATGTGGTCTTTCAAAGAGCTTATTGTTCATTTTATGTTTTTTTTTTTTTTTTTTTTTTTTTTTTTGTTTCGCTTTTAGGTGTTGGGAGAAGGAGGCTTGTGTATCCACATGTAATAGAGGCTCGAACTGACGGGGATCAGCTAACACTCTTTATCGATGAAGACACCACTCTATCTCTGCAACCAGCCGATGTTTTTTCGAAGTCGTTTTTGTTGCAGTACGAAGAAGGGGGAACCCCTGTGAAGCAATATGTGAGTGTCTTTTTTTGTATTTCTTTTTTATCTTCAAGCATCAAGTCAAAATAAGTAGGACGTAGGGTTCAATTGCATTTCCTTCCCCGTTTCAGATGAATGGAATGGAGCTTAACAAAATGGTATATCATGATACGGATCAAAGGGCGGCCGTTTCTCTTGAAAGGGATAATGGACTACGCGTGGTAATGACGTAATAATTCCTTCGGATATTTTTTAAGTGTATTCGTTCAACATAGCACTATGTTATTGAACTGAGCGCTATCATCCTCTAATATGGTGAAAACGGCAGAAATCCAGAAACTTCTTTACGAAAATGCTACTTAGTTTCATAAAATAGTGAATCAAAGTAAGACAACAAGTGTATCTCGGTACATATGCAGCCTGTAAAACTAACGGTTTCCAAGGCACTTCAAACGAGCTGCAAAAATGTGTTTCTCAACATATCGCGCTGCCATTTACTTCATAGGTGCAAGCACGTGGTGAAAGTTTACAGTAAAAAAAATATATATAAATAAACTTACCTTGCGAAAAAAGAAAAAAAAATACCTGTTCGGGGTCATTTACGTCGCCACTTCGCAGATGATGCTGCCATAAAGATAAGTACTGCTCTGCCAGCAGATCACGTGCGCAGCGTCGACGGAGCGCCGGTCGATTCAAATTTATAGCAAACGATCTCGAAAAAATAAAAACGCAACTAATTATTTGGCGCTTCTCTCACTTGGCGTACGCCATCTGTCGGCAGCACTTCTCCCTACACGTGCGTCATCCGCAAGATGGCGTCGCAAATTGCTTAGAACAGTATTATTTTTTTCTTTACCGATGTAAGCTGTTTTTTTTTATTTGTTTTTTTTTTGCTATAAACGTTGAGAGACCGATTTTCGCGGGCCGACTAAAGTGCCTTTGAAGCGTTAGGTTACATGCTGTGCATAGAAAAACAAATCTAATATTCCCTCTTTGCAAACGATAGGACTAAGACTAAAATATGGCGTTTTCGGTTTTAGAGCGCAGCTCTTAGGCACCCGTTTCCGGGCTGAACGGCGTCGGCTTCGGCGTAACCGAGCATTGCATTATGGAACGTTTCCCGTAATGACGTCACACGTGCGGCACGTGTGACATCACGAGGGTAAAATTTCCCGGTAAAATTGGCGGAAAAGTTTTTCGCTAAATAAGAGGGAAGTTTTTTTTCTAAATTTAGCGGAGAAATTGTTCCGCTAAATTTAGCGGGGAAATATTTGCTCTAAATTTAGTGGGACAATTTTTTCGCTAAAGTTAGAGGGGAAGTTTTTCCGCTGAATGGGTGGGGAGCAGGAGAGGAGGAGGGGAGGTAACGGCGGGGGAGGACAAGAGCTGCGCTCTAATTCGGCATTACAGATAATTGTAAACATCATGACTTTTTTTTTATTTTATTTATAGTTTGACAAACTTGTTTTAATATTTATGTAGCGAAAACGTTTTCGCTGCTATTTGTGAATATTTATAGGGGTTAAGATTTACTATCTTCTTGTAATATGTGTGGTATCTTTGGGGCGTTCATGATGTGTCGTTTTCTTCTTTTTAAGTAAGAAGTGTGCCAGTATTACAGAGCTTAGTATTGTGCATAGGAGCAAACGCATGCTTTGTTTGTTTGCGTTAGTGTTGCTTGCTCCACGTTGTGCATTCGCCATACACAGGGTCTAGTCTTACACACTTTTGTCTCAAATAACACACAGCAAAACACCTGTTCGAGGTACAGCACACTGACGAAGAACTTACAGCCAGAACGTTTTACGAGGGGCTTGATAACGGTGCGATATACCTTATGAAACAGCTAAAGTACGTATTGAAATTAGAAGACAAAAGAAAAACACCAAGGTTTTGCAGTAAGGCCAAGAAAACCCCGAATATTTGTTTTTAGTCAGTAACACGTACCTTAGCTATTTTAATAGTTGTACCACTCGGCTATCAAGCCGCTCGTGAAAGTTGGTACCGTCGGTTCAATGTCAGTGCGGTGTAAAGCGAACTGAAGTTTTGGGGTGTCTTATGGGCTTGGTTTAAGAGCAAAAACATAACACCCTTAATAGAGTTCATGGAAACATGCTAATCTGCTGAAATCGACGAGGTAGAGGGGCTTAAAGTAATAAACCGGGGTTCCGGTATGCAGTCGAAGGTGACCCACTACAGGCCGCTGCCGTTGTACGCAAAAATGTCTACTCGTCACGTGACCAGACCAAATACGTGACGTCACAGGAAAGATGGCAGCGGCTGGCCCCAGCTGTGCCGGAGCCTCAGCCGAAGCTTGTCGGATGCGTTGTTCGTTGTCGCTGGTCTGAGGGAGTTGATTTCAGCCGTCAAATGAAGCTGGTCGAAAGCGACTTCAGAGTTCAGCCTGGTCTCTCACGTAGGTATAACCTAAAAAATACGAAGGAACGGTATGCCTTTTGCTCGTGATCGACGGGGATATTGCTGATATTGCCACGAAAGAGACAATCGGCCTGCGTTGGTCGGACCTCGGAGTGATTCGAATCTCCCAGGGATAAATTTCAACGCGACATTTTTGTGCTCTCATTGACCATCGGAACTTTTGAAATATGAAGTGAAGCGTGTTTAATCTATTTGGATACGCAGTTTAGCTACAGGAATTGCGTGAGTCGTGCTTGGTAGTCTGTGATAGTGGTGCCGCTTCGTTCAACCGACCAAAGGCTAACTTTGGTTGTGCGGCGCACCGAGGAACTGGTAGTTCCCGTGCCGTGCTAAATGATGTTGCGTTGTTTCCTAAATTGTTCCGGCAGAGGCGTGCACTTTCACGAAGGACATGTATGCGGCGCACCGAAGAGCTGTTTTCAAGGATGTAGTTCTTGTGCCGTGCTACGTGATGCTGTGCTCCTTTCTAAATAGTCCTGGCGTAGACGCGCACTTTCACAGGGCATAGGTGTTAGAGTTGGTATTAAATCCGCTGGTCTGCCGCTCGTTTCGTCGACATATACGTTTAATCAACACTCCATACCCGAACTGCAAGCTGCATGGATATTTCATGGCGCGTGTATCACTGCGGCGAGCGTTACCTACGCAGCCTACGCTTTCACGCCTCTTTGCGGTGACAGCCTGCAGAGGCTCATTACCAGAAAAGTGGTCCCACATCCATTTAAGTTCAATTCCTCCACGACAGTGATCAAACCCCCGAAGGAGTTGACTTATTCGGACAGAATGCCACTAAAGCAATGCAGCTTCTTTACTGGTCAGGATAAATTCTCTTGCTTCAGTTTTCTTATACTGTTATGGATGCTTGGTCCAATCCTTTTATTAATATTTACGATTCTGGAAAGTTCCAGACCATGCTCGGCTTTCATCGTATGTTCTGGTGGAGGCGCTGGGTATTTTATTCTTAGCCCTTCACTTTGTGTGCACCTTGGCGGCCCGTCAGCCAAGTTGCCTGACAAGAAAACAAGGGTGGGGGGCTGTCCCGTGTCTTACACCCCCGGCGAGCCGTGAGCCAAGTTCAATCCCGAGCCCGGTAGAAAAACCGCAAGACGAGCGAGTCCCACAAGAGCTAACTCTGCAGATAGACCATAAAGAACCTGAGATTCGAGTCAGTTGCTGCTACCAGGAAGAACCCCCGGTTTTGGTCTCCTGTCAGAAAAACCGAAGCAGACAGCCAACGGTGAGAAACCCGTAGCTGCAAACTGCGTCGGCTCCCACCATTGCTTGCATGCCCGCCGCATCCCGCATTCCAATGCCCTTTCGCGACAAGGTGTATGTAGACGTAGCGGAGGGGATTGAAAATATGATCGTATCGCCCACCACAATGGGTGGACAGAAGACCAACACCTGCAGAACGTATACTTGTCGTGGAAGAAACTGCCAGGCTTTGGTTTGAGAACCACGAATCCTCCTCAGCGTTGTGGGTCGAGCTGTGCACGTTCATCAGGCAGCGTTGACGAGAAAGGACCGAATGCCTAATTCGATCCAGGACACGGCCCCAACGAGAGTCTCACCGCCTTCGGGGAGGATGTTTGGATCCTGATCAAGTGCCCGCGCCGACCCTCATGCTAAAGAAGATATGAAGCTGATAATCATCATGTCCTCATGTGAGGGACAGCATCTTGGGGAGCCTTGTCCGGAACCCTCCAACAACAGTCGAAGGGTTCATCACACAACTATCCAGCGTCTCGACACTAGACTTGTCCAGCTGCCCCTTGGTGGCCAGCCTCCCAGGAATTCGCGACGTCAAATACAATGTTTTCCGGGACGAGATCAGGAAGCTACTTCCAGTCACCAGTCGCCCGGCTTTTATTGGGAGTGCCGGGATTGTTCGGGAAGGAGTTCAACAGACATTTAAACCGGAGACTTCTGCGAGCGAAGCGGCATGCGACGAACTGAAAGTGACTTACGCTGCAATGGCAGAACGACCGCCACCACCTGTCTAGTAGTATTCCACTTCAACGGGGCACCCCAACGCCGTAGTATTCCCGACTTCGGGAAGAGCCAGTGTAGGTCTGCACTGAACAAATTACAGCGAGGAAGACGGAGGTGTTGCCAACGGCCGACCGGCGACCACCCTCCTACCACTACGTGAGGCCAACCATGCTTACAAGGGGTGCCCATGCCAATCAATGGGCCTGCCAGGGTTCGTGCGGAACGACCCTTGACTACGTATCGAGGAGCGACCTTGGCTCATTGAGGAGTGTCTTTGTCAGCCTCTGTCCCTGGTGCCGACACTACCCCGAGCCTCCCTATTCCTGTCGCCTCGACGGGAGGTAAGCATGACCCATGCTTCTACACTAAGCACGACAAAGCAGGTAAGCGGCAATGCACAGTTTATTTGGTGTCGGTCGACGTCCAAGGGTATAATTAATTTGCCGACATCAATTATCTGTGTCCTCTCCACGAAGCACACAATTTCTAATTTTGAGGAAAAATACAGCTGCGTCGCTTGAATAAATACAATGGTTGGTCGTTCTCATAAAGTTAGCACCAGCATCACCAGACTTCACTTAGCCACACGAGACCAACGCAAGTTGCAGTGGTCGCGGCATGCAGAAGAAATCGCCATCGTGGAATGGAAGTGAAGTGGCTTGGTAGCAAACAATCATTGCTGCAAGCCATCCACTCAACGGTACAGCAAAAGGCGCAGCCAATTAAGCAATACGTGCCCGAACTTGATACATTGTCGCAGAAAATTGCCATGAAAATTTGCGAATTAGAA